TTTAACAATTTTACCACAAACAATTTTTTCTATCCACTTACAAAATCACCAGTTGCCCCTGTAGAACCGATCGATTCCATCCACATCATCACATACATGCCGCAATCATATCTGTTACAAAATTTGAAAACCACACATGTCAATTATGATGAATACTGCATAAATTAAGCTTTCTATTTGTGATAACATCTCATACCCATTCAATTGCTTATTCTTCTTATGCTCCACAAATTTGAAGTTTTTCAAGGGATACTTTCCTAGAGATCCACATGACTCAACATAAATGCGTTTCTTATTATAAGAATCTAATATTTTAATCTGCATTAAAATAGAAGAAGTTATGCACCAAAAAAATTATGCATTATAATTTACATAATGTCCTTTCATACATACATACATACCAATCTCTTAGCATCCTTCACTCTCTGTTTAGCTGCTTCAGTTGTAAACATACTATCATATATTGTTACAACATGATCTACCATATCCAACACCAACAGATACCAGTGTGAATTATGGTAGTTTATTGTGATCATTATCTGCAACAAATTTCACACCCAATTTGACAAAATTCAACATTCTATATCCGAAAACATCATTTGCAATTGGTATGGTGTCTTACCTTCTCACAGTCGGTGAATTTCACATAGTTATCCAATATGACACCCCAGAAGGTAGAAATATTCTCAACACTTTCTTTATTGTTGGCTTCCAACGCCTGTTGCTGTAATTACGCAACAAACATTATTAATTTACCGTCTATAACACTACTTTTCAATATTTATTAATTTAACTCACCACTAAGAGGTATGGAAGGTAGCCAATCCTCCGGTGTGACTTTTGAGAATCGTAGCATATGGTCCAGGCGAGCAAATCGATAACCTAACAAAATTAATTACACAATCAGAACATATTCAATAAGTTTTATTTATTTTCTACTTTCTACTTACCACACCGCCAACCCATTCTGTAGGCTTCAACGTTGCAACGTCGTATACAGTAGCGAATTGATTTCCCATTGATATTACAGAATATCTGTATGAATCATTAGGATTAATATCTTGTCATGAAATATTTAAATATCACTCACAAAACAATATATTTCACTTACCCCGATTCTAACTCGCTATTCCATAAATAATCACAAATTGCAGCTTCGATGTCATCAATTCCGGTTGGAATGTCCGCTTTTTCAACCTACAATTTTGCATACAAATTTTTGTCACAACAACATAATAAAAATCAAATTAAGTATTCTTTTATTAAACTTACCTTCTGCTTCTTCTTCTGGGGTGCAGGACATTCCGAATCCAAAACTGCTGCTATGACACTCTCCGGTGTATAAAGCACATTGGGCCTCTCCTTCCTCCTCATTTCTTCCATCTCTTCTTCTTCCTCCTCCCTCTTTTCTTCTTCATATTTTTCAGTTCATCGTACTTTTTTTCTACATAGCTCTTCATATCTTTTATTTCACCCTTCAATTGAGCTCCTTCATCCGAGTATTTATCAACCACCCCCTTCACCCCCGTAAGTTCACTCCTCAAATCAACAACCTCCTTCACCACTCCCTCAAATTTTTCTCCCGTCACCATCTTAATATCACCCCTTAACACCGAAACTTCTTTCACCACTTCACCCCTCAACACCTCTACTTCTTTCACCACTCCATCTATTTTTCCTTCCACTACCCCCTTATGCCTCTCGAGTTTCTCTACGACTTGATCAAGTTTCTCTTCGACTCTTGATTGTCTTTGCATGATTTCAAATTGGATTTTTTGATATCAGCCAATTCAGACATCAAAATGTCGAAGTTACTCTGTTTTGCTTCACCGTCGTCCCACTCACCTTCATCCCCCAATACAACCATCCCTCCTTTCTTCTCCTCTGCCTCCACTGCCTCCTCTACATCCTTGCCAATAACCTTCAAAAAATTAAATTACAATATTAAGACATTGATTATATTCTTAATATTATTTAATTACATTTATTACCATTTCTTGCTTCTTCCCTCTATCCAACTTCAACTTCACCATCACTCTAACCACCTCTTCCTTCCCCCATGCACGGATGCGTGCCACTCCGGTTCTTTCATAAGCCGGCACTGCCTCACAGCCCGACCAAAAATCGAACAGTGCAACCTGCATTTATAATAAAATTAGAATTTTTATATAAAAACACAAAAAAGTGATTCAACTCATTTACCTCTAAGATTGCTATGCACCCTTTGAGGTATCTCTGGCTGCCCTTTTTAAAGGTGATAATTGATTCAATCAATCTCGAATGGATATATTCAGCCCAATTGAATTCACCCTTCAAGCCTTCATCGCAAATGAGCTTCATATATTCCTTGTTCGTTGACGTATCACCCGTTGGACAAAGAAATATACCGACAAGGTACAATAGAACTCGGGCCTTCAGCTCATCCCCCAAGTAAGATCCACTTTTGATATCCTCTTCAACTTCAGTATATGTCACCTTATGATTCAAACCATATTTGGAGGCAAGTGCTTTCCAGTTCTTACTCCTACAGACTTCTATAACACTTTTGCCTTTGTTTTGTACCCCCAATACGGCTGCAGCAGTCGATACCCCCAGAGGGAATGAATAATCACCATACTTAGCCATACATTGACTGACGTCAAATTGTGCCATCAAGGATCGACACAATTCCCTCCGAATAGGTCGATCCCTTACTCCGATCAACGATCCAAAACCTATTTCTCCCAGCACATTCAACTGACCCTTCTCCTTAAGGTGTTTAATTAATAAATTCACCCTTTTAATGCTGCATCTTGTCGAAACTTCCTACATTTTTTAACAATATATAATGTTATAGTTCTTATATATTTTGTATCAACGTATTTACAAGTTTAATGAATACCTTATTTTCATGTGCTTTCCTCCGTTCTTTGTATTCTTTACTATCATTCCTTGACTGTGTGATGTAAGGTTCCTTTTCAGCATCACTCATTGAATTCCATTTGGACCTCACATCTTTTTTCACCTAATATTAAACATAAACGTTTCTTAATCAATACATTAACACTAAATACTAATACTACTCAATGTCAATTTCATTTTACATACCGAACCGCTCTGTGTGCCATCTCCCTTCATCCTTTTGCATTCGGCCATACTGTTAACATTTAAAATTTGTAATCAATTTAAAGTTTATCGATATTTTAATCCAATTACCATTTCAACAATAATAACAAAAAGACATTGATACTTACTAGAAGTACATATATCCACCCTTTGGTTGCTTTCGAGTCTCGGCCTCAATTTCAAAGTCATCTGCTCCACCAACAATTTTCCAACCCATTGACTCCATTTTTCCTTCATATATCAGTTTACGCAAATCAAATTATTTTGTTACATACACTTTCAATATACAAATATAGATAACTACTCTTGTGGTAAAACGGTTTTCTTCAAAAGAATTTGAATGGCCACACCAAAATGTGTCGGCACATTTATACAACCTATAATATCATTTTCTACCTATAATATTTAATAAAAGTATCGACATTTATCGTTTTCCTTGAATATCTATTTCTACCTGCAATCGGTCCCAAATGCTTCCTTACTCCAAAACCCCAAACAACACATAAAAAACCCTATCGCGATTACTGTAATAATAAAAAATTAGGGTTTCGACAACATACTTTTCGATTCGACTGCAGCAACAAACAAACAAACTTCGCTTTAGAAACGCCTTCTGAAATGCAGCAACAATTACTCTTCGATTTCAAAAACTCGTCCGTTCTATCTATTTTCAGAGGATATTTAGCTTATATTTTCATCGGATATGTTATTTATATTTAATCGATACAAATACAAAAGTGTCGATACTTTTATGTCAGGTGTCGATACTTTCGAAAGGATAATTACCTATTTCTTTGAAAGTGTCGATAATTTATTACACGTACTTACGAAAGTATCGACACTTTCAATATATCCGGTATCATTTTACCGTTTTTATCATTTTGATACCGATTTTATCATATTTTTACCTGTTATATCGTTGTGGATCGATATTTTTTTTTAAAGTATCGACACATTATAGGCGCTATAACTGCTTCTCTTTTAAATTCACAAAGTGTCGATCCTTATATAACGTATCGACACTTTTAATTTTACCGGTTTTATCATTTTGTTACCGGTTTTATCATATTTTTACCTGGTATATCGTTTTGGATCGATATATTTTTTAAAAGTATCGACACTTTTTAGGATTTAAAACTGCTTTTAAAGTTATGTAATTTATGTTTCAATTTATTTAATAGTGTTTCATGTTTTCCACCTACAATATTAATTTAATAATTTAATTTACACAAAATTTTATTTGATTGTTTTGATATTTTATAAAATATTATTTAGAATTTAAATTTAACAATATTAACCAAATATAATAATAAATATGTTTTCAACAGTGAAATAAGTATGAACACTTTTATAAAAATGATATATACTTTTTTGAAAGTTATGTAATTTATGTTTCAATTTTTTTAATAGTGTTTCATGTTTTCCACCTACAATATTAATTTAATAATTTCATTTACACAAAAAATTATTTGATTGTTTTGATATTTTATAAAATATTATTTAGATTTTAAATTTAACAATATTAACTAAAGATAATAATAAATATATTTTCACAGTGAAATAAGTATGGACACTTTTATAAAAAGGATAGATAATTTACAATATAACAGGTAAAAATATGACAAAACCAGATTCATTATGACAAAACCGGTAAAATTTACTTGATATGTTAAAAGTATGGACACTTTTATAAAAAGGATAGATACTTACCGATAACCAAAGTTTACCGGTTACCAAATTTTTTAATAGTTTTTCATATTTTCTACCTAAAACATTATTAGTTGTCAACATAATAGGTACCGCTAAACCGAATTTATTAAATACATTTTAATGTATCCGGTAATGCTGTATATTAGCCGTATATTAACCCGCCTTTCCTGAGACATTCCCAAGAGGAAACATCCTACTTAACAACTAAGCAAAGTTGACCAGAGGTCGCCCGGAGTTTACTGCTTGCTCTTAGGTGGTGGTCTGAAGTACAGTTTGCTCTTCTCTCTTATCTCAATTTCCAAGCTTTTAAAACGCAAATTCAATGCCGATCTCTTTCAATTTACCCTGAAACCTTCTCCACCATCTCCTTCGCCGCTATGTCCAAGCTCAAATCCCGCATCGCGGTCGAGCCCTTCACTCACTTCGACCTCCCGACCCACCACCTTTCAATCAGCTCCCTATCTCTTTCACAATCCACCCTTTACCTCGGCACTCGGAACGGTTCCCTCCTTTTACTCTCCCTAAACCCCAACCCTACTCCAACCCCAAATCCACCTCCAATCGAATCCCTTTCTCTCCCTTCCCTTTCCCGTAACGTTTCCCTTCTGCGCACCGTTTCCGTTTCCGACTCTCCCGTGGAATCGATATTCGTGCTCTCTGAGATCGGCTTCGTCTTGGTATTATCCGATGGGTTCTTGTTTTTAACGGATTCGCTCTTGATTCAACCGGTTAAAAAAGTAGGTGGTTTGAGAGGAATTAGCATAATTGCTCGTAGATTCCGAGGAACGAATTCACAGAGCACCGATTTAACCGGTACTGCTTCGAATTTATCGAAAGGGCAACGGATTTTGGATAAATTCGGAGGTGTTAGGGCGAACGGGGTGAAAACGAGGGATTTAGAGCAGAATCGAGAATGTGCTTACGTTTTTTCCCTTGTTATTGGTAAGAAATTGATGTTAATAGAGCTTGTTTCAGGCAGTGATTTTGCGAATCCTTCTTTTGTGATCCTAAGAGAAATGCAGTGTTTTGATGGAGTGAAGTCTATGGTTTGGCTTGATGATTCCATTATTGTCGGTACAATTAATGGGTATAGTTTGTTTTCTTGTGTCACTGGGCAAAGCGGGGTGATTTTCTCGCTACCTGATTTATCCAGGCCGCCATTATTGAAGCTTTTGTGGAGAAACTGGGAGGTTTTGTTGCTAGTGGACAATGTAGGCGTGATTGTTGATGCTCTTGGCCAGCCTGTTGGTGGGAGCTTGGTGTTTTGTAAGGGTGGTCCTGATTCGCTTGGGGACTTGTCATCGTATGTAGCAGTTGTTAGGGATGGGAAGATGGATCTGTACCATAAGAAATCTGGTAATTGCATTCAAACGGTAACTTTTGGTGTTGAAGGAGTTGGTCAGTGTATTGTTGCTGATGAAAAAAATAGGAGTGGGGAATTTGTTGGTGTTGCTACTCCCACAAAGGTATCTGAATCATTCTAGTTCAATTAGTTCGTAAAGTTCATATTGTAATCATTCATATGCACTTTCCATTAGATGTGATGCGTTGATCTTGAGATTAATGTATTTGGGGTACATTTTTACATATGCTTCAGGAAATTTTAAATATATTGATTGAAAAAGACTTTTGCAGTTTGTTGACTGATGGTTTGCATTCTGAGGTTTATGAAATGTTGTAGATATATTAATATGGTCCTTAAACTAGGTTAATCACCTTTGTTGCATAAGCTATCACTTCTTATAGAACTTTCTTTGACCTGAACTGACAATTGAATTGTGAATCTTTTACTGGCTTGTGCTGCTATTCCGTTCCAGGATCTCAGTTGCAACCCATAAACACTGACATGCTTTGTAGTGTATAAAATTTGTGATTCATCTTCCTGATTCATGCTAAACATTGCTAGGTTATTTGCTACCGGAAAGTTCCTTCAGAAGAACAAATAAAAGATCTGTTGAGAAAAAGAATTTCAATGAAGCTATCTCCTTGGTGGAGGAGCTTGAGTGTGAAGGTGAACTGTCTAAAGAAGTGATTTCCCTTTTTCATGCTCAAGTGGGTTTCCTGTTTCTTTTTGACTTGCACTTTGAGGAAGCGGTGGATCACTTTTTGCAGTCAGAAACCATGCAGCCTTCTGAAGTGTTTCCATTTATAATGCGTGACCCTAATCACTGGTCACTCCTGGTATGTATTTTATAAGTGCATTCTTCTGAAAGTTTGATTTGTCCATTCTGCAGTAGTGGATGTTGTTTTAGTGGATAAGGTGTTAATCATGTCAGCGCTTAACATATTAATCTATCTATGAGCAACGCACTGCCCTACTTAAACTAAGTATTTATTCAAATATCATCTGTGAGAATACTTATAATGCTTAGTCAGTCAACAAGAAAAAGAAGAGTTGCATGTTTGGGGTATGATTTGAGTTGCTGATTGACATTTCCTTGCATGAAACATGCTGAAACTCCTTGTGCATGTTTGTGAAGGTTTATTGTCATAGCAATTGAATTGAACTTTTCAGGTTCCTCGAAATCGGTATTGGGGTTTACATCCTCCTCCTGTACCCCTCGAAGATGTTGTGGATGATGGATTGTTAGCTATTCAAAAGGCCATTTTCCTAAGAAAAGCAGGTGTAGAAACTGTAGTTGATGAACATTTTCTATCAAATCCACCAGCCAGAGCTGAATTGCTGGAGTCTGCAATTAAGAACATTATCAGGTGCCCTTCCAGACAATCTGCTTTTGTGTTTTTTTCTTTTTCTTTTCTTTTTGAGGCCTGTGTACGTGTGTGTATTTCTCTCCTTACCAAGATCAATGAATGGGGGTTATGAAATGACTTGAGTTCCAATTTTGGTTGAAATTTAATAATTCCGTTCTCTTTTAGTATTCTTATGTATGAATGGCTTGTAGCCGGCAATATCCTTAACATTGTTTGAATCTGGAGTTCACTGCTACAGGTATTTAGAGGTGTCTCGTCAGAAAGATTTAACTTTGCCTGTGAAGGAGGGGGTTGATACGCTTTTAATGTACTTATATAGAGCTCTAAATTATGTTGATGATATGGAGAAGCTGGCTTCTTCTGAGAATTGTTGTATCGTGGTATGTGCTTTTATTTTTATTGGCGAATCTCATTTGGTAATCATGCATTTATTTTAGAATCACATCCTTGCTGCATTAAATTGTCTGTTTGCTGGATTGGGTTTTGCAAAGCCTCTGAAAATGCATGCATGAATAAAATGTTAAAGAATGATTTGGTTTTAAGAACTGATAGTTTCATGTTGAAAGAAGATAATCTTGGAGGTCTGAAATTCTTAAGTAAATAATTTGTGTAGTATTTTAATTTCTCAACACTTGGTTTCATAGAGTATGATTGGCTGAAGAAAAAAAAATCAAATACATGACTAAGGATTTTGTTAGTGACATTTTAATAGATAAGTAAAAAGAGATTGTTGTGTAATGTTACAATAAAATTCTCCTTGTTAAAAGGAAAAAATGGAGCTTTTGCTCAAATAAATGGAGAACCTGCTCTTAAGCTGAAAATGTTTTAGCCCTTTTTTCTCCATCAGTTAACTTATTTTTATTCTAAACAAATGAAACTAAATGAAAGTATTTCCTTTTAACATGAATTCAGTACGGATTCATGTGCCAAGTGGGTGTAATGATTTGTATGGGAGATGGTACCATTCTGGCCAGGTCTTTCAGGTTGACTACATATTTTCTTGGTTAGGTCTAGTAAAATTCAGATTATGGTTATAGGCCTAAAGTAAATACCCTATGATCAAAGAATGCTGATAAAATGTGGAGTCTTAGTATTCCAATGCATTGGAAAACAGAGACCGTTGTCAGGAGGTTGCTTGAAGGATGACTGTACAACTTGCATGGGCAGTGCAGGAGGAATTAGAAACTTTATTAGATGGCTCTGGGCACTTGCGGGCACTTGCCTTCCTATATGCTAGTAAAGGGTTGAGCTCAAAGGCTCTTGCCATTTGGCGCATCTTGGCAAGAAATTATTCCTCTGGTCTCTGGAAAGATCCTGCTGTGGAAAACGGAGTACATGATGGCAATGCATGTGTAACATCCGGTAGGGAGATCGCTGCAACTGAGGCAGCAAATATTCTTCAGGATTCATCTTACCAGGATTTGGTTCTGCAGCATCTTGCATGGGTATGTAGTTATTTCTTACAAAAGATTCTTTTTATAATATTTTTAAATTCTTATAAAAAAAATAATATTTTTAAATTGAAGGTGTTGAGCTTCTTGAACTTTGTAGTTAATTATTGACCTTGAACATTGCTGATCAGATTGCAGACATAAACCCAGCACTTGCTGTACGAGTTTTGACATCGGATAAAAGGGAGAATCAGCTTTCACCAGGTGGATCTCATTTCTAAGTTAGTTTGTCTTGAATTATGCTTGGGCAATTTCAGCTGTAAAATTTATTTCTGGAGGATGCACAATTTATTAATTAGTATCTTGCTGCAGATGAAGTGATTGCGGCAATTGATCCAAAAAAGGTTGAGATTCTCCAATGGTATGTTTCTATTTTATTTTATGGATTATAATTATTTTTGCAGTTTTGGCTTCTACGCTCTACACTCACCATTGTAGACAACATTATACACAGGCTTATTCTTTGGCAACTGAGCTTGTATCGAAATATTTTTACCTTTATATCCTACACTTGTGCTTGGAACATTATTCATTTGTTTGTCATAGTATTCACCTTGTTTTGTATGAGCTCTTAAGTTTTTTGTGTACACATTCTCTTTCTTTTTAGTATTAGATGTGACCTTCACTGCATCGATTTTGTTTTAACCTTCCTTATCTGTGCAGCTATCTCCAGTGGTTAATTGAAGATCAAGACTCTGATGACACTCGGTTCCATACTCTCTATGCTGTTTCACTTGCCAAGTCAACTATTGAAACCTTTAATTCAGAAAGCAGCTCACAAGGCCCTGATGCTGGAAGGCAAAAGCATTTGGAAAACATTGATGCTCAAAGAGATTCAATCTTTGAAAGTTCTGTGCGGGACCGGTTGCAGATATTTTTACAGTCTTCAGATTTGTATGATCCAGGGGAGGTCCTTGATTTGATAGAAAACTCAGAGTTATGGTTAGAAAAGGTCTGTTAGAGCTTTGTATATTGTGCTATTCAGTTGACTACTGAGCTGAAATTTTAATGCTACACTCAACTACAAATCCTAGATTGACTGTTTATTGTTTTTTAGATGCTTTTATGATTAGTTGTTGCATTTAACATTTGCTAATTTAATATTATGGTTTGATTGTTAGGCTATTCTATACCGAAAATTGGGCCAAGAGTCATTGGTGCTCCAAATCTTAGCGCTGTAAGATTCAAATAATTTCGTGATTATTAATTAGGATGTTTGGTGCATTAGGCAGTATGAAATATAAAATTTATTCATAAAGATAGCAGATGAAAAAGAAAATGAATTCTGGTTTCCTATTATTAACATCTAGTGGCCTGTCAGGAAACTGGAGGATAGCGAAGCTGCAGAACAGTATTGTGCTGAGATTGGCCGACCAGATGCTTATATGCAGTTCGTATTCTTGTTCTTGCTTTTTCCACATAATTTTCTTTTTCCTTTCTCTACTTATGCATGCAATCTTTTTTGTTTATTTAATCTGTTTGTGACATGATAATATCAGGCTACTTGATATGTATTTGGATCCTCAAGATGGTAAAGAGCCTATGTTTAAGGCGGCTGTTCGTCTTCTGCATAATCGTGGAGAGTCGCTAGATCCTCTGCAAGTATTAGAGGTAAACCCCTCTCTCTTCTCCTATATGTCAGGAACCTGGAACTTTAGCTTTGCTGGCATATGTGCGAACATGCTCTTTTATTATTATATAGCTAGTACTAACTAGTTACTCGTGGGAATTTTCCGTACTTCCATTTTCCCTATGACTTATATTTAGGTAATCTGAGTGTTGATTTTGCAGACACTCTCTCCTGACATGCCTCTCCAACTTGCATCAGATACAATATTGAGAATGTTGAGGGCTCGACTACATCATCACCGTCAAGGACAAGTAAGATCATTTTTGGATTTCTCCTGCTGCATATAATTTAAGCTTAATCACGAGCTTTCTTTTTCGCAGATTGTGCATCATCTATCCCGTGCCGTAGACATCGACGCAAGACTTGCAAGATTGGAAGAAAGGTCTCGGCTTGTGCAGATTAATGATGAGAGCCTTTGTGATTCTTGTCATACCCGCCTTGGAACAAAGCTTTTTGCCATGTATCCGGATGATACCGTTGTCTGTTACAAGGTTGGCGATGACTAACCATTATATATATTTCTTCATCTTTCCAATAGTTTGGATCAGAAACAGGGATATTTTTCAATATGAAGTTAGAAGAGTACCATTTCCTTTTGTATCTACTTCTGCATTCAGTTACTGTATGTTTAAAAGCTGCCGTCTTCTTTCATCTGCAGTGTTTCCGTCGTCAAGGCGAGTCAACTTCTGTAACTGGTTGTGATTTTAAGCAAGACGTCTTATTCAAACCTGGTTGGCTGGTTACCCGATAAGCCACTGGAAGTTACTGCTGGTGGATGAAGCCATGGTTCTCCCATAGTTTCTTGCTTCAATCTTTGTATAGAACTTCATTGTTAGCATTTGAACAGAATACTCTGCATGTCAAAACTAGAATGGTGACACCCTTTTTTGAGGCCCTTTTTGCATAACATCCCTTTTTTTCTTTGGATCTCATCTCTTTTTTACCATTATACAACAAAATAATTTGGCTATAATATATATATATATATATATATATATATATAGTTATTATTTGATATATATATCGGTGGAAAAATAATTTCAGCGTTGTTAAGATTATGTCAAATGTATTTTCTAGTATATTTAAAAATTTTAAAACAATAACGTAACATGTGACATCATTTAAACGTCACTTGTGAAATTATTTTTATATTATTAGCATAATTTACAAATATAATTATCAAAACATTTTTAAAAAAAAATATGATATAATGTTTATGTTTAGGCTCATCTCTATCAATAAATTAGAGATAAGTATTTAAACATACTTATTTTATATTCTATTTTATGTATTAACAATACTAATAAAGTTAAATCTAATATAGTAATATTTATATGATGAATCGAAAAGATTTGATCCACGGTTATTTCGTAATATCTTCATCATCAGTATTAATGTTTTAATACGCTGTTTTGAATTTATTAGTATTATATATATACCTTAAGTATATGTACAATTTTTTAAATGTAATTATAAAAATATGATGAAAATGAAAAGAGTAATTTAAAATACTAAATTAGCATATTGATTTATGCAAGCTAATATTAACGAAAACTGTCAGAATATATAAAAAAAATTAATTGAAATAAAATTTGATTTATTTGGTACCATTTTAATATGGTACGGACTGCCATGCCTATTAGAATTTAGAATTGTATATTTACATAATTAATGATGGGGTAAATTCAAACAGATCAATAATTGAAGGGGGCATTCTTCATATCCCAAAGGCGAAGAGGATAATTATGTAAATTCGATATGCCGATTCAATATAAATATAAACCTCAAATTTTTAGTGTACATTGGCTTCATTTTTGCCCTTTTTTCACACGCAGAAAAACACCATATTAAGAAAAGGAATACGAGGAACGAAGAAGCGAGCTGTACGCAGAGCAGCCAATAACCTGCTTCGGCCTCAGCCTCCGTCAGGTCAGTTTCTTTCTCTAATTATTTAGATTTTAATTCTTCGCTTCTTCTTTTTCTTCTCATTATCTTATTAGAGAAAACTAGACAAATGAAAAGAAGAAATAAAAGTCGATAGATTTTGATTTTATTCGGGAGCGGAAAGGGTTTTGGATCTAATTTTCGACGATTTTAAGCTCCGATCATTTGATATCCAAATTTAGGAATTCTAAAATCGAATCCTTGAATTGGTTCTCTTTCGAGGTTCTTCGTGACCTAGGCTTTTGGGAGACTGCTTTTCGTTTCCTTCTCTCTTTCCTTTTGTAAGCTTTACTGCGAATGTTAAATGATAAATATGTGTTTTTAGTAAAATTGTAGACGGGTTATAGGTTTTCCCTTTATTTTGCGATTAAAAATCCAATCTTTTGTGGTTTGGTCCATTTTCTCTCTATTTTGTAAATTCTACGATTTTTTTGTCTCTCTGAATTTTTTAAACTATTGTATAGGAATTCAACATGCTACTTTTTATGTAACTTCTCTTTCCAAATTATGTGCTTATGATTTTCGAACTGATGGATATACATGTAGGCAGAAGATAAGATTATCATTATTTAAATGTCAAAATATTTTTCACTTTTAGTTCTATGTACTTAAAACGAGATGTTTCTTATGTTCTTTATCGTTGGTAGAACTTAATATTAGGTTTCTTTTGTGGTGTGTGTGCCTTTCTAATTAACTTCATTGTACTATCAAACTGTTGCAACTTGCAAAACCTCATCTGGTAATGTGATTGAGAATGTTGGGATGCCATTAGAAATAAGATAGAATCATTAAAAATGTTTTTTCCAGTATGTTTCAATTATCAAATTTTGGCCTTAACCTTATCCACAACTTTCATAGGGGATTTAGTTTACAAGACTGTGCTCCAAGGCATGAATCTAGGATCTGTTCCTTAACAACTCCCACCCCCTGTTGCAGGAACTCTTACAGTCTTACTACTAGATATTTTCAAATTATGGAAAAGTAAGGGTTCGTCTTAATTATTTTGTAAATGGATGTTTTTGATTGTATAATTATAAGGTTGAAATTGAAATTGTTAAAGACCTCAAGAAGATGTAGATAATGTAATTAGGTAATGCTGAACGTCCTAGGCTTTTTATTTTCTTGGTCCCATAAGCTATCATTTTTTAATTTTGTTATGATGTTCTCGCTACTTTGTTGACAAGTTCTGTGGTTTACCGTGTCATGTGATTGGCTGTTAAACTGGAATGAAGTAATTGTTGGATGTTTTCCTTTAGGTGTATCACACATAGGGCATTTTTAGTTATGCATGTACTCGCATTGTTTTTCTGTTGCTGGTCAGAACAATACTCACTGGAGGTTATGAAGAAATAAAGTCTTGGTCCTATACGGAGTTGTCTTTTGTCTGCTGTATTAGTGTACGGAGATTTATATAAAGGGCAGGGATGTTACCTGGAGATTCCTCACATCACTCAACATCTGATAGTGGGCCTTCCCGAAATTCTCCAGAAAAGCAAGAGGAAGTAGGTCGTTGGTATTTTTCAAGAAAAGAAATAGAAGAAAATTCCCCATCAAGAAGGGATGGTATTGACTTAAAGAAAGAGACATACTTACGCAAGTCATACTGTACATTTTTGCAAGATTTGGGCATGAGGCTGAAAGTGTAAGTTCATGGTTTATATTCAGATGCAGTACTTATCTTTTTGGATGCAGCAAATGCCTGGTTTGTGCTATTAAACTTGAATATTGGGTTTCATTAGTAGCTGTTTTTAATGAAGTGTCATTTAAAATTAAAATGGAAATGTAATTTTGTGTGTTCTGTTGTGTGGGTGCATGTGGCCATGCCTGCCTGTTCCACCTGTGATCCATTTCTGTGTTCAGTTTTTGTAAAGTATGCTTAAGTTTTATTATAGGTGGGAAGCTCTTAAATTTGTTTATTTAACATGGTTAAATCACAATGTTAAAATGTTGAGACATTATGTATTGCAGTTCTCTAACTGTTTTAGTGCTGGTATCTGCATGGAATATACAATTTTAAATTACCTAGTTAATTTTGTAACAGAAAGATTGATCTAAATATTAGCATTATGCTTTTAAATGGAAAAGTATCTTCATTTCCCTGTCAACAGTTGTCATAGCTGCTATCACCAATCCTTTTAGGCAACATTTCCTGGTTTTGGTAATTTCCTTTTTGTGAGCTGATCCTAAATCTCTGTTGCCTGCTATAGTGCAAATATCTTAGTAGATCGTTATTTGGAAGTATGCTGGTGCAGGAGATTTTTTTTTTGTTTGCACATTGGCACTCTTTCATGTCTCTGTGTTTTCCAGTCTGTCATTCTGTTGTTCTTTGCCTTATTTTGATACTCATGCTCTCTCACTAGCAGAAGATACTGCATATTAATGTGTTAGCACATTGTGTGAATATTTATCGTCTATCATTCTTTGCATATTTTGGCATTATATTATTGTAAAAGTGCTTTACATCAACAAACAGTGGGTGTCAGTTGGCCACTGCTTTTCTTATGTGACTGCCCGGTCTATCAACAATTTCTCTAACCCTGCAAGCATGTGATGTAATTATTATTGTTTCTTTTACTTTCTACAATCTTGTCGATGAAAGGAGTTGTTTTGGCATTCTGTTGTGTGATTACAGAGTTCTGCACACGCATTATATATTTTTGGCTCACATGGAATGAATTTGACTAAATTTCTCATCTGATACAGGCCTCAGGTAACAATAGCCACAGCAATAATCTTTTGTCATCGGTTCTTTATTCGACAATCACATTCGAAGAATGATAGAAGGGTGAGTTATCATTCTCATTGTCTGGTGAATCTTGTTAAAACTCCATTGTGCACCGTTTGGGAACTTGGATTTCAAATTTTGGATTTGGATTTCATTTGCTGTGTAATTGACAATAATGAAATGTATACATTAGAGAAATAGCTAAGATTCAATACAACATGTAGATGAAAAGCATACAAACTTGGATTTATTTATTTTTTTGATAGGAATTGAAGGCCTCGTTAAAAACCTCCTTCTTGATTAAAGAAGCTTGTAGAGAAGCTCCTTAATCAGAGGAAGGAGGAAAAGAGTGCCTTAAGATTTCATTAAACAAAAGAAATTACAAAAGATACAAACTTAGAGCACCCCCACCAAAGACAAAGAACCAGAAAACAACCAAAAACAACCCTCCACAACAACACTAACTGCCTAATCACCTCAGCTACAACAACTCCAAAAGGACAACCAGAACTTGGCCCGAAACACAACACAACACAGAACAACTATAAAGAAGCCACAAAACAGCTGACACAAACCATAAAAGCCAAATTCGAACACTAAAGCCATGAGCTTCCACACGATAAGAGATGAAACAACAAACTTCGAAAAAACTCTGTCCGCCATTCTGCACCGAATGCTAGACATGACATCAGAACCAACCGAAACTCCAGCTCCAAAATCCAAAAACAACTTCGAGTCCCCGAAAACAAATCACCAAGTATTGTATCTTTCAATACATCCATCGCTAAAATGTTCCGAAATCAAGAACACTCGTGAGCCTTTAGATTCAAAATCCGAATCTTCCCCGATCTGTAGGGATTCTTTCGCATCCTTCTTATGTCTATGCTGCCTTGCAAGAAAGTCAGAATCATAAAGGGTTCTACCTTCAAGATCAAACAATTCTTCCACACGTTTCACCTTACTGTGATTAATCTTGCTACGGCATTCTCTAGACTTCCATTGTTGAGCCGAAAGTTTTCCAAGAGCTGTATGGAGAGAGCTTAAATTATTATTTTTCCCATCCTTTGTTGTTCGGTTCTGCCTGTCCACTCCCTTGGAACTTATGAATGCAAAATTATTTGTAAGGCTCACAATACTCTCATCCTCCACTACCTTTGTCTTTACCCGACCATCCAACATGGGGAATTCTATAAAATAATCCTTCATTCCCTCAAAACCACGTGCAGTGTCACTACTTTTCCTTTTGTCATTTTTTGCCTCTCTCTCCGCGTGAACCAGCACATCCTCGTGTTCCACTACTTTCTCAATTTTCGATTGAGCCATCCCATGACTAGCAACAATAATCCTCAGTCCCGAAAATAATTCCTCCCCTATATTCCTTTCCTCCTCAACCTCACCCGACAAGTTGCTGCCTCTAGTTCTGTTCCCCATACAACATAATAGACTATCTTCTTCCTCAAAACACCGCTTGGAATTATTGTCCTCCGAAGAGTCCATGCTTCTTCCTGCTTCCTCAACACATTCCTTCATCTCGGAAGTCTTCACTGGCGAGTCACCATCGATTTCCCCCACCGTGGATAACGGGTAGGCAACTACCTTTTCCATCATGGACGAATCTACCCAGATAGATTTTGGGTTGAAACAAGGTTCAAACTCAGAAACATATACTGTATAGATATGATCCCCGACTTTCAAATCTAAGTAGTCTTCCACTCGAGCTTGGTAGTTCGTGGTTGTCTGAAACAATGCTCTATCAAACGAGTCGGGGTTGAGGGTCCCTTCCTCAATGGAGATAAGTTCTCCCCATTTGCCAACAATGTTTCTGAAGGTGGAATGGCTCCATACAAATGAAGGGATTCCTTTGCACGAAAGCCATGCCCGACGGCTGTTGCATTGAAACTTTTCCGACCACACTTCCACTTTGTCAAAGCAGTTTCTCAACGCCCCAATCTGATTATTAAGAGCAAAATCCCTACTCTCTTCATCTTCAAAAATGATTAAAATTGCTAAACCACTTAACCTCATAATTTTGGGACCTAACACGCCTTCCTTATGCAAAAGAGCAGTCAACTCTTTCATTTTTAAAAATTTTATGCACCAACCTACCAAGCTATTTCTGAGAGTTAAGAGCTTATCCTCGTCAACAACGTCGACTATGGGGGCCTCTGAATGAGTATCAACCTCCACTTTACTCTTGACCTCGGCTGGTTTTGGACCAGAAAACTTCTTTCTCCAGAATTCTTCACGAGGTTGAAATCTCGCTATGAAAACTCTAATTTTAAAACCTTGAAACCAAGATCTATCAGCACAGTTGATAGCCTTCCTCGCGTCCTCCACTATGGTGAAGCGAACAAAGTCAAACCTACTTCCTCCCATGCTTCTTTTATTAGGGATGAAAGAATCAACCACATCGCCATATTTATCGAATAATAACCTAAGACCTTGATGATGAAGATACTCTGAGATATTGAAAACGATCACTGTAAAGCAATTTTTCCCAACAAATCTTCTCACCTTACACGTCATCAAATAGATATGAAAAGGGAAAAAGAAAGAAAATATTTGAAAACGCCTGATTTTTAGAGAGGAGGAGCTTCTCTCACTAACGCCTACTTTGCGACTTGCTTTTTGTCTTTCCAGTTAGAATGACAAAAACACAAACTTGGATTTATCAAATCCAAAAATAAACTAGGAATTTCAAAATCACTACTATATAGGCATTTAACAAATCCAAGGATTTAAGAAATAAAATTATCAATGTTACATTTCTAAGTATTTTTTACTCCATTTGCACTATCTTCGATAAGCGAATTTAAATTCTGAAATCTAAGCTGGCTTTGTCTTTTGAATCTATTTCATTGTGAACTTTTATTCAGTTAGCTTTCCTTTTGGATGATATAATGATGGTTGGCATACTGGAAGGCTTGAGGAGTGAAAAGTGTTATAATAGGAGCTTGTAAACATAGTTCCTTTAGTCAACTTAACCTATCATTGTATTTCTGATATAGAGTCTTGCCCGTCTAGCTCAGTTGGTAGAGCGCAAGGCTCTTAACCTTGTGGTCGTGGGATCGAGTCCCACTGAGGGCAATTCATAACGGAGGTCTTCCACGGAAGTTGCTCTCAACCTGGTGTTGGGGACAGCTTACTACCCTATCTCCCCTTACCCCATTACATATGGGAATAGTGTCAACTAATTTGTATTTTTGATATAGATTTTTGTTAAGAAAGATAGCATCGAGTCTTAACAATTTTTATGTCACATGCTTCACAGACCATTGCTACTGTATGCATGTTCCTCGCTGGGAAGGTTGAAGAGACACCTCGCCCATTGAAGGACGTGATTCTTGTTTCCTATGAGATAATACACAAAAAAGATCCTGCTGCAGCCCAGAGGATCAAACAAAAGGTGTTCTTTAAATTTATGGTGCTTTTATCAGTTTTTTTGTGTGCCTCTTTTTGATGCTCAAGTTGCCAATTGTCATCCATGTTGTGCCTTTCGCTCCTGACTTGTGCAATTGTTTTCTGATCTGCTCTTACTTGCCATTCCATTTGCTCTTCTGTTTATTAGGCTATCATTTTATCCATTTTGTTATCCCTCAGAGGTATAAGACTGACACCTGTAGTTATATTTTCCTTTTTATAAAACCCAACTAGCTGAACTTCCCATGCACAACAAAATTTGTCCAATCTGTTCTTGTGATATATTGCCAATGTGTGTAAATAACTGGCAGAGTTATAACTTTCCATCATTTTGGTCTCCTCTTTCCTTGTCAGAATTTATTTTCTGTTCCTCTTGAACTCAAATTCTTGCACAGATGCTACTTTTTTCCTCTAACAGCTGTGTCCTTAGCAAAACATCTCCCAACTTCTGTTGCACAATTGTAGTTATGAGGGTGACTCATTAACTTTGATATATGTTGCAGGAAGTGTACGAGCAACAAAAGGAGCTAATTTTACTTGGGGAGAGGGTTGTCCTTGCAACTTTGGGTTTTGACTTCAATGTTTATCACCCATATAAACCTCTTGTTGAGGCTATAAAGAAATTCAAGGTTGCACAGAATGCTCTTGCTCAAGTTGCATGGAATTTTGTTAATGATGGGTACGTTTAACTGGTGTTTCCTCAAGTGTTTAAAATGCTCTCTTCCTAGTGCTCATTTTTGACACACTGCAAAGCGGCATGCAGGCTGAGGACGTCGCTCTGCCTGCAATTTAAGCCCCACCATATTGCAGCAGGTGCCATTTTCCTTGCTGCCAAGTTCCTCAAAGTGAAGCTTCCGTCAGATGGTGAAAAGGTTTGGTGGCAAGAGTTTGATGTCACCCCACGCCAATTAGAAGGTTTGTTTCCATAACTCTAAAAAAGATCTTGCCAATAAAATTGGTCAGTTATTAAATGGTCCCATGGAACTGGTGTTGCTTGAGGTTGCTTCGCTTAAAATCGACCCACTGTATGATTTGGTAGACAGTCTGCTCATTGCCATGCTTTGTGAAATACCATGGATGCTGCTGTGGTTGCTTCTGTCTTTCTGTGTCTTTTTTCATGTGCCTTTAGTTGGATATTCTACTTTGTCAATTGGTTATCTTGCAGAGGTTAGTAATCAAATGCTGGAACTTTATGAGCAAAACAGAGTACCCCCGTCTCAAGGTAGTGAAGTAGAAGGAAGTGCTGGTGGTGGCACATCTCATCGAGCCCCAGCAAAACATCCTTCTGGAAGTGAGGAAAAACAAGTTTCATCACGGTCGGGAGCCGACCACTCTTCTGCGGATAATCATGGAATGCCATTAAAAACTGCACAAAATCAAAGGAATGATGATGGGAGTGGAGAGATGGGCAGTGTTATTACTGATCACAAGATGGATACAGAAACCAAGGATAATCAACATCATGAACAATTGCCCCCGAAGGAGAACACAAGGGAGGCTTCGAATAAATCTAGGTCCGGAATGGAGCGAACTGTTGGAGAAGACCAGGAAAGAACAGGTGGAAGAAATGAAATTGCTGAAGCAGGTGAGTGGAGAGATAATGGACCATCACGTAAGGCTAGCAGTGTGGTTGGGCGAAACTTGGACACTAGAGAAGGGCCAGTTGGCCAGTCTCCCAAAGAAGCTATTAAAATCGACAAGGATAAGGTGAAGGCCGCTCTTGAGAAAAGAAGGAAGTCTCGTGGGGAAACAATGAAGAAAAAGGATGTCATGGACGAAGATGATCTTATTGAGAGAGAGCTGGAGGATGGGGTCGAATTAGCCGTGGAAGATGAGAAAATCAAGAGAGAGCATCGACAGAGCTGGTCTAGGAGCGAGAATCAAGACCATGTTAAGGACCAGGGGGAAATTGGAGAAGGGAACAACTTTGGTACAAAGGGACAATCATCTTGGAGATTTGAAACAGAGGGTGCTGAAGAAGGAGAAATGTTGGATGATGCTTCTCCGATGATGAACTGCCGAAAGAGGAAGGCCGGAAGCCCATCCGACAGACAGATTGAAGGGAAGAAGCGTCATGAGTACATGTCAAGTTATAATCGTGACATCATAGAAGATGGGCAAAAGACAGGCCGGGGTAGTTACGCAGATAAAGAATACAGAAGGCATGCACACGAGAATCATTCGTGAGGCTGTAAAAGGGGTACTTTTTCTGAAACGATCGTGCATGATCCGTAAGATAATTTCATTAGATACTGATTTCTGACCATAAATATTGATATTTTTTAACTTCGCAACCATAAATGGTCAGAATGATCCTTTGGAAACTGAAACATTGGCTGAAATGTATTTAGAATTAGTTTGATTTTGGTTTGCCTACAATGGCACATATTTTGGCTGTAACAGAATGCTAGGAAGGACAATATTTCAGTCGACATAATGGCAGCGGCTTAATGAGAAAGTAAAGAGGCAGCTAATTATTTAGTTCTTGGTGTTAATAATGATCTGATGTGGGTCCATTCTCGGATTTTTAACAGTGAATTTTTTTTTATAAAGTATTTGTGTTCGATATTTATATAATAATTTTATCGATATAGATTGATAACCATTCATGTATATGATATATAAAGTTTTCATCAGCAGCTAAAAGTTGTATATATATATACACACACAATATATAGTTAATGATCAAGACCCATTTCAAGCCTTGATGCCGCCACTCTAACCTCTGCTGCGCCACCGCTGCTGCGGTCACCTCCCATTTTCTCTATTCTAATTTTTGTATAGAAAGGATATAGGAATTATAGCTTGAGGGAAATTAAGCATAGGGTGACAAAAATGTAGCCTATATGATAATAAGTAAGCTAGCATGACCACATGGGCTCACCCAAGCTTGCCTGGTCCACTATCATATCCATGTCGAAAATGGGCTTGGCTTGTGAACCGACGTGCTTGGACGGGGGTGACCCGCTATTAGTTGGGCTAGTAGAGCCGAAGCCATGATGTGAAATGGATGCGTTCTGTCTCACTCGGAGGTGTACCACCTCTGCCTGTGCCAAGGCCAATTGGGTTTGAAGGGTGTCTATTTGCTGCTGTAAGGAAGATATAGCTCCGACGCAGCCGTATACGGGGTCGCGTATCCGAGCGTTGGCCTCGTAGACCATGCTGCTGACGGCATCTCCCCGCTGGTGCACCGGTAGTTCCTGCAAGAAGAAGAAAATGATCCCACTTAAACTCCTCCCCAAAAGTTAAATAAGTAAAATACAAGCAGTTAGAAGAAAGGAAGTAAGTAGTAAACCTGAAGCATCTTGTTTACATTGCTAGCACCAAAAACCTTGTGGACATTAGCAAATTTGTGGGGCTCGTCAGCAGGAAAATAAGGAGCAAAAACACAGTCATGTGGACACCTTCTCCTTAGAAGCTTGCATGCTGCACATGGTGATGCTGCTCCTTGCTTCCTCCCTCCATTCTCCTTCATGTCTGCCCACTACTCTTCTGATCTTTTCTCTCTCTCTCTCTCTCTCTCTCTCTCTCTCTCTCTCTCTCTCTCTCTCTCTATGTGTGTGTGTGTGTATCCTAGGGCGTACACTCACAAATGATACTTACAGAAAACTTATACCGCAATCAGTTCCTGGAGTTTAAAATGTTTTCCTAGCTGAGGATGATATATACTTAAGAATTGCAGAAGGCTGAAGGACCCAAAAAAACATGAAAGAACTGTGAACCGAAGAAGAAGAGGAAAAAAGAGAAAGATATTGAGAGTGAATGTGGGGGGTTTCAGGTGTTATTAAATAAGCAAAAAGGTATGGATTGTGGACCCTTTCAATAAACTCCTTTAGATTTTGGTTTACACAAAAGACATCACCATTGATATGACGCATTTTAGCTTCATATTTCCAATCATCATTTTACATTTTTATTGTATTTTTTTCTAAAAAGTATAAAAAATTAGTATATATTTATTTTACAATAATATACGAAATTTTCAGTTGTTTTTTTCTTCAGTAATATAATTATGTGTTATTATTATAACTATTTAAATATATAGAAAACTTTTTAAAAAAAATTATAAATATATACTTGTATTCAACGTTTTGCTCCAACTTTCATTACTTTATAATAGTTTGAAAATGACATAGGCCAATGAAAATAAGTAGTGCGTGTGCATGCGTAGCTACCGGAGCATAACATGCTAATCTGAATTACATTTTCAACACTAATCATCATCATATATAATAGAGTTTGACCAACAAAAGAAAGATATATGTGGATCGAAATCCAATAAAACCAGATAAAAGTTTCCACTCTTTGAAATTTAGAGATCAAATTAATTTATTTTTTTATGCTTGAATTTTCTGATTATATTAATAAACCACATTTATCTGCCTCATGCTTCGTCAGGTTTTGCCTATCTTATACCTACGAAAGTATGATTATTATTTTATGCACTGACGAATGAAAAATACATTTTATAAATAAGATTATAATATGACAGATGCAAAATGTTGCTTCACTATGAAATTTGAATTATTTTCGGTTAGTTATTCATTTTGTTAATTGTGTCTATTCGCAAATAAAAAAAATATTATTAATATGTGTGTGCTTACCTTTAAAAGTAATTTTGAATTTATCATTGGATTGTAATAAGGTTACTCTTCCTTTCTAGGATTTAAATTTAAAATTTAAAATCATTTAAATATATCAAATATCGTTAAAATAAATAAATTTATTAAATCTAGAATATGTATAAAAGAAAAAGGAAATAAGTTAAATGATTATGATACATTAAGGGTAGAAGAGCATCCATTGCCAAAAATGTTTAATTTTGGGTGCATGCCAAAATCATTCAATCCTGCCTTCCATTTGCAAAAGAGAAAGGTAGTGAAGTAGAATTACCAATAATAATAATAATAATAATAATAATAATGGAAGAAATAACATGGGGAAAATTAAAAATAAATATAAAAAATCCAGTAAGGGAAGGCAGATGGGGCCAATGACAAGGCAAAATCATAATGAGGTGCTCAATATTCCTTAATGGATCCAATAATCAATTATTAGATTGTGGTCAACTACCATTGGGTCAATCAATGTCCTTTAAACTTCACTCATTTAGGGCTCCACTACCCTACACCAAACAAACCTCTTTAAACAAACAATATTGTTAGGGCATATTCCATATTTTAACTGAATCCTGGATTAGATGAAATTTCTCTTAATCTAGATCGAGTTAAAATTTAAATAAATAAATATTTTTTTCAAGATAGATTAACCAAAAATCGATTACGAGAACACTGAAAGAGTGGGGAAAGTGAAATAGCAATGATAATGTGGAAAAACGGAGATGCAACAACAGCACACTTTGCTGGGTTTCGAGGAACAAAGACAGAACTCATCATTTCATTTTCCCACCATTTTCTAGGTACTACCATCCACTCTTCAATCCACTATGTTTACTCAAACAAATGGGAATTAATATTTCTAAGACATCAACTTATTTAATTCATATAATTACCTTTAAAGAGTTATATTATTATATATTTGAAAATTCATAAAATTGGTCGAATGGATATATTTTTATAGGGTAAGCTATTTCACTAATCACTCAATTTAAATCTATACATCAATTTGGTTACTAGATCTTAAAATGATTCAATTTTAGCACTAAACATTTCATATTAATTTTAATGTTCACGTGTGCTAACGTGAAAGTTAAAAAAAAAGTATTTCTATCTCATCACATTCTTTATAAAAAATAGAGTTTTTTCCCTACTCATTTTCAGTCGTCGTCTGAAATCAACATTCTCCAATGTCTTTTACGATCATCCTAGACACCAATGAACTCGTCTTATTGTCTTCTATTGCTTTATTAGTTTAAAGTTTTCCCAAAATCTCTTTAAACTCGTGAAATTATACACGAAATCTATTATTTTGGGGTTTTGAGATTTTTTTTTTGTTGAACTATGTTTCGATATAACAATTTAAGGCAAAATGATTTTTGGACTTGAATTGAATTTACAAAACGTATTTGGACTTGAATTAAATTTACAAAATATATTTGGACTTAATTGAATTTATTCAAAATTTACAAAAATAATTCAAAGTTCTTTTAATTTAAAATTGAGCATAAAAATGTTTTTATGAATAGTAATTTACTATTTGAACAGTAAATTACTATTTGAACAGTAAATCACTGTTTGAACAGTACCCCTGAGGCTCAAAAATTCCAGTATGTAAAAGGGGAACCGATTCCCCCCAAGGGAGTACCGATTCCCTCACTGTTCATCAGTCAAAACGGTCATAATATTTGAATATTATGAAGGGGTATCGATTCCCTATGAAGGGGTATCGATTCCCCTCATTCTGGGCAGCCTATTTTTGCAGAAAAATCATTCCCAAACGGCTCCAAAACATCCCCAACGGCTAGATATGACTTCAAACACATTCCAAGCTATAAATACAAGCTAAGGACACTTGAAGAAGTAAGAGAACAAATATCCAAGTAATCAAACACAAGAGAAGAGTTTTTCATTCTTATTTCATCTTTCTCTTGTAAATATTTTGTTCTTGTGAGCTTAATTCTTGTAAACACTTACCTTAGAGAGGTTTTATTGTTTACATCTTTTATCCTTTTGTAAAGGGGAAAGGTTCTAGCTTAGCCTGTGTAAAAGCTAGGGAAATGTTCTAGTTTAGTCCGGAAAAACTAGGGAGTTGTAAGGTTATCTCTTTGTCCTCAAAAGAAAGAACAAATTAGTGAATTTGTTGGAAAATCCTTGGTGAGGAGCTAAGGTAGTGGATGTAGACTTTGGTTGAGAAATTCGAACCACTCTAAATCGCTGTGCAATTTTCTATCTTTCAATCTCCTTACTCCCTAAATACAAAACCGTTCCGACCCCTCTTTGCAAATCGTTCCGGTTGTCGTTTCGAGCTTCCGAAAATCCCAACATTTTTTAAATTTGGAGATTTTGAGATGTTTGTTAAAAAATTTGAACAGTGAGAAACATTCTTTCAGAAGATGAATAACATATCTCAAAACTAACCTCGAGGAGATCAAAGATTTAGAATGTCAAACTTTTAGATGAATTTTTATTTATTTTGAGTGAATTTCATAAAAAATAATTTCGACAAGAAGAAAAATATAAGTGCAATGCGAATATTTTGGTACTGATATTGTCACCAATGACAGTCGAAGGAGTTAACAATCTTTTTGTAAAAGAAAGACAAGGAAGAAACGGTCACGTCATCACATCGTTAACAATTTATTATTTCAATAACAAAAAGAAAATCAATGTTGAAAGTTTAATGCAAAAATTGAAATACTTTAAAGTATAATGACCAAATTGATTCACAAACTAAAGTTTAGTGACTAATGAGATAGTTTACTCGTTTATATATTGTCAAATAGAAGTATATAACACTGTATTGGTCCTCCAAATAATTTGCATGAATGCATCACGTGGATGCATACAAATTCCCGTTTATGTGAAATCTCCAAACTATTTAAAAAAATATCTTACATTAAAACAAATTCAATTTAACTATTTAAGTATAACACATTTTCATCGGTCACCAGAAATTCTATTCGATTCAAAATTCAACCCTACATAAATATTTTAAAATCAAAATATAATTGAAAAACAATAGAGAGGAATATTATAATAATTATCCATAAATATATAAAGATAAATTATATTATTATCCTTGGATATAATATTTTTCACCATAAATTGAAACTCGACCCAACCTAACTTCATCCTTGAAAAATATGATCAAATTTAAACTCAAATTTTCAAAAAAAAAAATGATCCTATCTGATTAAATCAAACTAAAATCAGTCGAATTGGTATCAAATATCTATCCTAATCAAAGGCTACGAGTCTTGTGTTGAAGCCATGCTTCTACGTTTTCTAATGTCTTGTGGATTTTGATGATTTATGTAAAGAAAGAACTCCTCAAGAATTAAGAGGAAAGATCGAACCAAAGAATTAGTGGGGGTATAAGTTGATTTTAATTTGATTGATTTTATTATTATAATATTTAAGTGTATAATAAATTCTAAATTTTATTATTTTATATTTTTATAAAATTCTAAATTCATTTGAGTTTAGATGCATATTTTTATTTCAAATTTCATAGGATTCCCTTTCTCATATAACAAACACCTATTGACCAAATTAAAACTTGATAAACAATACTCTAGCAAGTCAATTTCAGGCTATTTTTGAAAATTTTGGGAGTATGTAATTGAGAGATCGGGGGACAAATGTTTGGTCAAGCAATCGGTTACCAATTTTTCTCACCTAAATTTTATACAAATATTAGCTTGAAAATTATCTTAAGATTTGTATACTTTTACAGATTCAAGTTCAAACTCTTGGAGTGATCTCAGTGGTCAAAGAGAATTGTGTTATCTCTTCAGACATTAGATTCGAGCCGTAGCATTTTGCAAGTTGTGTGTACATTGTCGATAATTAAAAAGAATTATGAACATATATTACCTTTTAATCCACCCCAGATTATTTTTAAAAAAATCGAGTTCATATAACAACAAACATATGAATGCACTCTTTACAATTTTACAAATCCATATGTTCATTGAAGTGGTTCATTTTCATAAATTTTCTCAAGTAGTTGACTCCATCAAATGATTTCGGTGGTTGAAGGGAGTGTTGTTCTTCTTAAAAATGTCGGGTTCGAACAATTACGCCTGTGCGGTGTGTACATTATCAA